GACTGCGAGCGTCGTCTGCGGGCGCCCCGGACGCCGCCGTCGTCGCTGATGAAGCAGGGGGAGCGGGCAGACGCGCGTCGCGGAAGCGGACGACGCGAAAGTCTCGGACCCGGCGCGGAGGGCAGAGCTTCTCGAGCTCGTGCTGCAGCAGGTACCGGCTCTCCTCGCCGCCGGCCATCAGCCGGCTCTGCACCAGCTGCACCAGGTGCGGGACCAGGTGCAGCTTGCCCGCCTCGACCGCCAGACGCTTGAAGGCGGCCACCGGGTCATCGGCCTCCTCGAGCGTGCAGAAGAGCGAAAACGCGTCATCCTCGTGCCTCAGCGTCGAGTCCGTCGACCCGGAGCTCGACGTGCGCGCCGGTGCCGGTGCGGGTGCGGCGCTTGCCCCGGAGCAGTAAACCTCGAGCGCCATCATGAGCGCCTCGAGCCGCCGGTCGCCCTGGTCGAAGCGCGCCTCGAGCCTCGCCCGCGTCTCCTCGTACCGCTGCAGCCAAGCGTCGCGCTCCTCGTGCTCCTCTGCCTCGCCGCGCGCGCCCTGCTGGCCCGCCTTGCTCTTGGCGTCCGAGTCGGCGTCGATGTAGGCGAGCGGAAACACCTTGGTGATGACAATGTCCATGGCCGACACAACGCCCCCTTCGGGCAGCAGGCTGCGCAGCGACGCAAAGAAGCGCTGCCGGCTGAAGCCCAGCCGCGCGTCCCACCGCGCCAGAGAGACCGAGTTGGCGCTCAGGCTCAGCGAAGACGTCAGCAGCGCCTCGAGCACCTCGGTCCCGTCGCCGCTGCTCTGCAGCCTGGCCCCCACGATGGCCAGCTTCTGCCCGACGCGGATGCGGCCACGCGTCGCCGCCTCGGCCAGGGGCACGTCGAGGTCGGCGCGGATGCGGTACCAGCCGTCGGAGAGCTCGAGCGTCACCTCGCGCCGCACCGCCGCCCCGCCGCCGCTGCCGCCGCCGTCGTAGTCGGTGTCCGTCGACTCGAGGATGCGCGAGACGAAGAGCACCATGGGCAGGTGCGGCGGCGAGTCGTGCTCCTGGATCCGCTTGATGCACGAGCG